AAGGTATCCAGATTGGGAAAGAAAATGTAAAACTGTCATTCGTAGATGACGGTAGTATACATAGAAAATCCTAAGAACGCCATCAAAAAATTATTAGACTTAATAATTGGCAGTGTTGCAGGATACAAAATTAATGCCAAAGAATCTATGGCATTTTTATACACCAATAGTAAACTAACAAAGAGAGATTTAAAACACAATCCTATTTACCATCGTACCAAATAAATGAAGATAGCTAGGAATAAACTAAGGAGGTAAAATAACTGTACTCAGAAAACTACATCACACTTTAAAAAGAGATACAGGAAGACAAGACATAATCAGATGAAAGAACATACCATGTTCATGGACTTATAGAATCAAGATCTTTAAAATATCCATACTACCCAATGCATTCTATAGATTCAATGCCAACAATATATTTCACAGACCTAGAACGAACTCTCAAAAAATTTATATGGAATAAAAAAAGACCCAGCAATCCTGAGAAAGAAAAATAAAGTAGGAGGGATCTCAATACCAGATATCAAGCTGTATTACAAAGCCACTGTTCTCAAAACTGCCTGGTACTGGCACAAATAGACATGTAGACCAATGGAATAGAATAGAGAACCCAGAAATTAACCCAAACCAGTGTGCTCAATTAATATTTGACAAAGGGGGCAAAGACATACAATGACACACAATGGGGTCAAGACATTCTCTTCAATAAATGGTGTTGGGAAAATTGGACAGATCCATGCAAAATAATGAAATTAGACCAGCAACTCATACTATATATAAAAATAAACTCAAAATGGATTGAAGATTTAAACATAAGACTGTAAGCCATAAAAATATTAGAAGTTTCCACAGGCAGCAAAATCTCAGACGTATGCCAAAGCAATATCTTCAGATACAGTTCCTAGGGAGAAACTAAAGATAAAATAAGTTGGACTACATCAAAATAAAAAACTTCTGTACAGTAATAGAAACCATCAAGAAAACAAGAAAGGCCACTGTATGGGAGAACATATTTGCCCTTATCACTATAAGGGTTTAAACTTCAGCATTTACAGGGAACTTATACAACTTGAAGAAATAAACATAACCCAATGAAAAAATGGGCACCATACCTAAATAAATATCAATACTTTTAGAAAGAGCACATGAGAAAGGCCAAGAGACATATAAAAACATGCTCAAAGCCACTAATCATTCGAGAGATGGAAATCAAAACAATAAGGTGGTACCATCTCACACCTGTCAACAAACGACAAGTGCTGCTGAGGATGTGGAGAAAAAGGACCTCATGCACTGATGGTGGAAATGCAGACTGGTGCAGCCACTGTTGAGAACAGTAAGGAATTTCCTCAAAAGCTGGAACTCCCATTTGACCCAGTGAACCCACTTCTAGGAGTATATCCCAAGTAACCAGAAACACTAATCAGAAAGGACATATATGCACCACTATGTTCATAGCAGCACAATTTACAATAGCTAAGATTTGGAAATAACCTAAGTGCCCATCAGCAGATGAGGGAATTAGAAAACTATGGTACCTCTACACAATGGGAATACACGCGGCGGTACAAAAAAGAAGTTCTTACCAGTTGCAAAAACATGGATGGAACTGGAGAGCATTATGCTAAGTGAAGTATGCCAGTCAGAGAAAGATAAATATCACATGATCTCATTCATTTGTGGAATATAATGAACAACAATAGTTCCAGAGACAGAGAAGCATCGATCAGACCTCAGAGGGAAGGTAGGTGAGGGAGGGGTTAAGGAGGAGAGAGCAACCAAAGAACTTGTATGCATACTTATAAGCCTAACCAAAGGACACAGACACCAGGGAGGTGAGGGCATGAGTGGGGGTAGGGCAAAAGGGGGATAAGTGCACATATGTAATACCTTAATCGACAGAAAAATAAAGATACGAATTTTATTGAGGTAACTACTCAGGTTGCTTCACAATCACAAGTTACTTATGATAAGAGTTAAAAGTGAACCTGCATCCAGAGATAAGACATTTTTATGTAAAGAACCTTTGGAAATTATTTTTAAGTGAATAATAATACTATTTCAATATAATAACATAAATCTATAGAGCTATCTTGACTGGAAAAATAGTTTATTCGGAGATAGGGAATGTGAAAGGGAAGCAATGAAAGGAAGAAAAATTATATATTTGTGGTTATGCAAGACAAATATGTAATTAGTCTTCTAATTGTATTATATATTGCATTAATAAATTGGGTGAACAAATTTGTATTAAAATATATTGAAGTGAAGTTTTAAAATATGGACTTGTGCATTACACGTGTCTTAATAGATATTTTAAATAATTTGTAAGATGCCCTTAAAGACTTTTGCTCCTTTTAGTTCAGTAAAAGAATGCAGTTATAATTTATTTCATTGCATTCTCTGATTTTAAAAAAAAACTTTAATAAATAAAATTCTCTTAATTTTATTTCCCTGGTTCATTGGTTAAAAGAAGGGGGGAGAGAGGGAAGAAAGATGGGTATAAACATTCCTGTAGTGTAGGTTAATATTTTTTCAACTCAGATATCTATTATTATCTGTGCTTTCCTTTGCTAGTCTTCTCAAATTTGGTAATAATGTTATTTCTTGAGTTTATTCCCTGCAACCAACTCTTAATAATACATGAGTTAAAAGCAATGTTGTAGACAATCCAAACAGGGCAGGAGGGGGGAAGATAGGGAATGGGAAAAGGAAGCAAAAAAAAACACACTATGGCTCTGCTACACAAATATCTAATTTGTCTTGTATTCTTATATATTGCATTAAATTGGATGAACAAATTTGTATTAAAATATATTGAGGTGAATTTTTAAAATATTGACTAGCTGAGTTTTGAGAAGTCAGCTTAGCTTTTACAGTTCACTGCAGATAGACTTCACATAGTTTCTAAGCCTTAGTTTTCTAGTACATGAAGTTAATGCTAAGCTTTTTAAATTCAAAGCATACACTATTTATATTTTGAAATCTCATATTTACTCAGCAATGAGAATAAAAATATATTTGAACTTTGTAATTTAAAGGGTGGTATATCCTGTATGTTCACATTATTGAAAGTCTGAACATTTATATTTGTAATCCTAATGTTCAGTTTTCTCCATCATCATCCAATTACAAATTGTTCAGCAATTCAGATAATTTATAATATTATTAGAAAATAAAACTTTGGAAATTAAATTTCTAAATGAAATAAAACTTTCTTCCTAGCTCATCTGACAATTAAGTTACCCTGGCAATTAAGAATTTCCTATGATCTTTTAAAGTTGATTAGCATAGAGCCCTGTTCTTATCTATATAATCTATATAATAATATAATAATATAATAAAATGACAAAAAACTTTTCATTTTACTGTGGATTTTCTTAAAATATATTGAAATTATGAAGCAGGTATTTATGATACAAAGCTATATAAGTTGTGTTTTGTATATTATAAGAAATGATACATATTGTTTCACTAATATTATTAGCTATACTAGAGGCCCAGTGCACACATTCATCCACGGGTGGGGTCCCTCAGCCTGGCTGTAGAGAGGGCCAATCCGGCCAGCCAGCCAGGGGAGGGATTGCAGGAGGTTTGCCGGCCCCAGGAGGTTGGCTGTGGGAGAGCACTAACCACCCGGGGGCAGCTCCTGCATTGATTGTCTGCCCCCTGGTGGTCAGTGCGCATCATAGCAAATGTTTCGGTCGTAATGGTCTCTTAGGTTTTTATATATATAGATAATATTAATAGACAGTGATTCAATATATAGGACCTTAGTTTCAGTTCTTTCATTAGAAAAATGAAAGTTCTTTATTTACTAACTTGATAGCTATATTTCCTTCGTGAGCAATTTCTTTTATTGATCCTTATTAAATGCTTCTATAGCTGCATTATCCAGTGTGATAAGCCACTAGTCAGATTAGACTCTTTGAGCAATTAAAATGTGGCTAGTCTGAATTGACATGTAGCTGTAAGTATAAAATACTTTTATTTTGAAGAGAATGTAAGATATTTTATTAATAATTTGTATGTTGATTGCATGTTGGGATGATCATACTCGACATATTGAATTGAATAGAATATATTGCTAAAATGAATTTTTAACCTCTTTTTACATTTTTAATGTGGCTATTAAATTTATGTATGTGGCTTATATTTATGGCTGTCAAAACTGTTGGACAGAACTTTTCCTAGATTCTTCTATATTTTATATAAGAAAGTCAGATTTAGAAAGACTTTTTTTTTTTCATCTCTTTCCATTCTTATGTTCCAGGGTTAGAAATTATTCTAAAGCAATTTATATGTTCCAATAGTTAAATGACATCTGTTGTATATAATATGTACGTATGACCATCATTTAACCATTTGTTGTAACGTTGAACTACTGGTATATTGGTGTGTTCTAGATTGAAGAGAAAAAGGAAAAGTGAGGTACACAAACTACCAAGAATTGAAAAAAGGAACATGCTTATGCACCATAGAAAATGTCATTTAAAAGACCCTAGTCCTAATATTTAGGCATTATATATTGTGATCTAGAATTATACTATGCCATAGACAATTTCCTTTGATAATATCTAACTTTGAGAACCACTGATAGAAAGATATAGTTAGTGGTTTTCAAGGTGAGAAAAATTTCCAAAAGAATATTAATTTCTATTTTTTTTTACTTCTTATGGAAAATTGTCATTTGTGAAAGAGGAGAAGGAAATTTCATGAGATAGTCATAAACTCCTAAAACAGTTCTTTAAGCTCCTATTTGATGCCATTGGAAATAATCTTTTCTTCTCTTAGGAAGTGGTTATCTCTTTTCCCCATCCCACCCCATTTCCATGTTTATTTGTTTTGTTTTGTATTTCCAAAAAGACACTTAATTTTCTTCTTAGGTTTATATTTTTACTCACTAAATAAGGAATAGCACTGTTATGTTTTATATTTGAAACTATAAGGTACATTTCTTTTTTCTTTTATTTTAAATTTAACTCTTTGTTTTACAGATGAGGGCAGAAATGCAGTTGACCAAGCAGGTGGTGCACAGATTGTAATTGACCATTTAAGGTCACTGTGCGGTAGAACAGATCCCGCCAATGAGAAGCTCTTGACTGTCTTTTGTGGCATGCTGATGAACTATAGCAATGAGAATGGTAAACAAAATTGAAAACTTGCTTTATCTCGGGGGGAGAAACTAAAAATCATCATTACTATAGCAAAAAACAAAAATATTTGGAAACATTATGAACAAAGAATTTGTGACATATAAAATTAGTAATTAACATAAAATTACAGTTTTGAAAAACACAGAATGGTCCAATTTATTAAATGACACTAGTTATTAAAGGAACTAAAAAAACAAAACAAAACAACAATGGTGTATGGTTTAAGATTTCTTGCTATGAGCATTTAAAAAATAAATTATTTAAATAGCTTATCCTATCCAGGTGACTCATTTGGGATATGAACATTGTCCCATACCTCTAAAGGTCGCAGACAAGTTTGATTCCTGGTCAGGGGCACATATCTAAGTTTTGGGTTTGGTCCCTGGACAAGGAGCTTATGGGAGGCAACAGATGAGTGTTTCTTTTTCTTTTTTTCCGCATCCCTCTTTCCCTCCCTCCCTCCCTCCTCCCTCTCTTCCTTTAAACTTAATAAAGCCATATCCTCAGGTGAGGATTTTTTAAAAAATACCTTCATGTTAATTACTTCATATTAATACCAGGAGTAGCTTTAAAACATAAACACTGTAAATACAAAAAACAACCATAAAGACTGTCTTTATAAGTTATTTTATCTAGATACTAGATTTAATTGTAAGAATAACAAAAAATTTTAATATAATCTAGCATTGTAAAAATAAAGTTTAGAGCAATTCAGATTTCTTATTAAATTGAGAAATTTAATAAGTACTTTATAGCCTGTGTGGTTGTTAATCAAATGAACATAAAAAGAGTGGCATGAAGGTTTCACTATACTTTTAATTGTCATAAAATTGATTTACTTATTATTTTATATGAATTACTTTATGGGTCAGATGTTAAAATTCTAGTAGTTTCCTACAATAGAAATTAGTTCTTTCTGTGATTTATTTCATAATGCCATTTTAAGTTGAAGTCTATGATAGAGACATTTTATTTGTATATTGACCATGCAATATTATTCTTAACTTTCATGTGTTTTAGAAACATAAGGCCTTTTAGAGGCATATTTTTAAAAATTTTTCACTTAATAGTCATGGGTTCAAAGAAATATTCTCAATAATTGAAAAAAAAGAAAAAAGAAAAAAAAAAAAAAAGAATGTCCATAACACATGACCGGGTGTTGGAAATTATAGCAAATAGCAGGGGCTGTGGCTCTTGTCCCATTAAAAGGGTAGAACCACTACCCTCTTCTCTAGCTAGTTGTTTCTGTATGGCAATTTGGTCAAATGATACCAAATATTTTCATTATGGGGAGGGAGGTAAGCTGAAAATCCAGCTTTGCACATGACACCTGATTTTTAAATGTTCAATTACATTTGCCTTTTTAGCACTTATAAGTTAAACAGAATGTTTCCTGGGATTACATTAATCCAAGAGAAACAAGTTTTAAATCTGAGTTAAAATTATCCATAATAATAATAATTTTCTTTCATCAAATGGCTTGTCTATTAAACCCAAACTAATAACAAATGGTAGTCTTTGTTACAAGGTCAATTCCTTCTGTTTTACTTGTGCTGTCATGGAATCGTTTTTTAAAAGAAAATGTCCTAACTATGAATAAGAGAAACAGAAACAATAGTCTGGGTAACCTATAAAATGAATAGCTAGTGCCTAAGTAATTTAAATTTGACCATGAAGCATGGGTATCTAAATTGCATTAAGAAATCATTGGTCAGTTGTTCATTTTGCTTCCTTTCTATTCAATTTCATTCATGTTTGGACACCTGAAAAAGTGGGACAAATGCTAAGGGGGAGAATAATTTAGAAAGATAAATGAAAGAAACTAGTCATGGAGTGACAGCAGCTTTGGGTATAAAAAACTAGCCTTGGTATGCATCTAATCTGCTTGTTTGTCCTTTGAGGAAGCTGTTGCTCAAAAGTCTGTACCAAAGCATGTCACATGGCCAGATGGTCGTCAAGAACATCACCAATTCTAACCCAAAAGAGCCTATGATTGAATCTACGTTCTAGAATAAGCATGTCAAACACAAAGGCTAACATGGGCCAAATAAACAAGGTTTAAGTTTGTGAGCCACAAAAAAACAAAAGCTTCAATTTTCATAGAAACATAGGTTTATTTCAGTAGAGACATGCTAAATACAAAGGGCTGAAGTAAATAATTGTTAACATAAAATAATAGAACATTTTAATAAAAATTAATATTTTTTCTTGAACATTAACTTACCAGACACTGAATAGCTGCACAAATAAATAAGCGTAATGCAAATAAACCTATCTTCTTGTTCTCCGAAAACGAAATATTTCCTGTTGTACACACACCAAACAAGTGAGTCCAAAACTAATGACGTGGCAATCGGCTGCTAAAATATTTGCTGCTAGAGTTAGTGGAGAGAAATGGTGTGCCTGCGTGTAAGGAAAATGAATGCAGCACGATTATAGTAATCAGTCATCAACGAACATTGTAGTTCATTATTAGTAATTATGGTATAGCAGGATATTGTAAAAATTAAGTTGAAAATTTTTTATTAAAATGCTTCTTACATACCATTATATTGGCTGGGCCGCAAAAATATTCGTAGTAGGCCACAAGTTTGACATGCTTGTTATAGGATGGCAATGTTTAGAGAAGTGCACTGAAAACAATGATTAAAACCATGAGTGCACAGTCAAAATGCATAATATGTGTGTTTTTTTCTGTAGGAGTAGTTTTTTTTCCCTGGTGTGCAAGTATTGCCAAGAAATAACTTACATACTTTGGAAAACTCTACTATCTTTTCTTAGGCCACTATTGGAGCAGTGGTGTTTTTGTTCCATTATCCTAAGAGCTGCAATTTGAATGCAGCTTTTTAAATTTGTTAGGTAAAATAGAAGTAAAGTCAATTTTCGTATTTTAAAGGAACAAATGCCAAACTTATAATTATCCCCTTTCCTCTGCTTTCCTTTATGTTTATCTTTCATGAAGATCATAGTTTAAGAAGTGGTTCTTTTTATCCATGACACTATTTAACTTACATTTTATTCCTTTAAGTTTTCATTTGCATAATTATTAAGCATCTTTGTTTTGTGTGTATTTACTCTTTTCTTTAAAATATGCATTTAAAGAATTTCCAACTTAAATTCTAGGTTTTGTTGGCTAACTTTAAATCATTTGATCCTGTCCACCTAGATGAGTCACTGAAACAAAAAAACAGCAGAACTTTATGAAACTTGGGAGCCACGTTTTATTAGCACTGGTAAAATAAATGAAGTTCCTTTTTATCTGTATTGACTATTGAATATGAGTATACAAGCCTCTGCTACTTTCTGAGTAGAATAGTTGGGTGATAAATACCTCCTTGTTATTCTAGCAGAAAAATAAACTGTACCCATGGACCCAATAATTTAAGCCTTATTTATAGGGAGTTATTATTTAGTTCCATAGATAAAAAATTTAAATATAAAGATAAGTATTAGAAATGGTCACAAAGACTCGCCAACGTAGTTTCTCTGATAAGAATATTTTCAAATTTTTTATTAGTCCCAAAAGTAGATTGACACCCTACTGAGACTTAGGATATGTTGATTTCTATCCATATAGTGATTAACCCTGATCATACACAATTTTTAAATCCATTAAATAGGGACTAAAACAATTTCCCTACACACATGCAAGGCATATATTGTGAAAATGCTTACTCGATAAAGGTATTTTTCTACCCGTTTATAAATGTGCATACAATTCAAGGTTCCTTAGTTTTAAAACTTTTGAACTCACTCAAAATGATATACTTATAAGCTATGAGCTGAATATATTATTTTGTTTCCTTGTTGGTGAAGCAATTAAAACTTTTTATATTCAGGTGAGTGTGAAATACATGAATAGAAAAAGTTGTAATTACTTTGCCAGAAAATTCATATCAGTAATATTGTATAAATAAAATCAGGTTTAAATAGAATAAGAAAAAACTTTTTGTTTAGTAAAAATTACTTCAATTTATGCTTTAGGGGAAAATTATATCTGTTTTCCACATGGTAAATAAGCATTCTTCAAAGCTGTAGCCCTTTAAAATAGAACTATTTAACAGTTATAATTAAGAGGAAGCATATTGACATTTTGACATCCAATTTGAAGAAATGTATTGAACTTCCTATATGTTCTTCATCTAGTTACAACTTTAAAGTTTTAATTATTTTATAAATGAGGAACGCAAACTTATTATTGAAGATATTTTTGTCTCATTAATTTCTTGAACATCTTTGTTCCTAGCTTTTGTTTTCCAGTGTCAAATATTGCAGTGAAGACTGAAAATTTGTTTCACATATAGCTGTTTTCAACTGTAGCACCATTTTAGCATATAGTAGGAGTTTGGAAAATATTTAAATATTTATTAGTTTACTTTTCTGGATATTTAGTATTGTCTAAAAATTTTTTATTACCAAAATTGAAACTTGGAAGAAAAGTGATATTAGAATACATGCTGTCTTTAAATAAATTAGAAGCATTATAAACTCTTGTCCACTCTACTAGCTGATTTTCCATATTCATCTGCATGGCAGTAACAGAAAGTGACTTTGGAAACATGCTAATATTAACTGTGTTGAATCTGTGGTTAAAAATTGCCAAAATTAGTTTGGCTCAGTGGATAGAGCGTTGGTCTGCGGACTGAAAGGTCCCAGGTTCGATTCCGGTCAAGGGCATGTACGTTGGTTGCGGCCACATCCCCAGTAGGGAGTGTGCAGGAGGCAGTTGGTTGATGTTTCTCTCTCAACGATGTTTCTAGCTCTCTATCCCTCTCTTTTCCTCTCTGTAAAAAATCAATAAAATATACAAACTTGATAAATCTGCATATGTATACTGGAAAGTTGGTTGAAATTTGAATAGAAACAAACCAGTAGTCTAAAGTAGCAATTTTTCAAACTTTTCATCTCATGACACACATATAACAATTACTACAATTCTCTGGCATACCAAAAGTACATTTTTTTGTGAATTGAGAAAAATATATAAT